GAACAAGAGCATTTGTCTTTTTGGCCTCTCATTCTTCTAGTATATCTTCTTAGCCTAATGGCCAAATAGTATGAGCCTTTGTTTAGCAGTCTCTATGGATTCTTCTCCGCCTAATGTTTCTATCACTACTGCGTCTATTTTCCATATCTTTAGTTCCACTTTCTTTGTCCTTTACATATTTTTCTCTAATTTCTCATATTCCTTCTTTCTGGTATTCTTGCATTATTAATATATCTCTTACAATTATTTACTTGGTATTACTATCACCAGCACTCTGGTTTCTGGTTCTTGTTTACTACCATGGTACTTGGTATTGATATTTGTCTTCGAAATCTATTCGGCTTATAGAATATCACACAATTTGATTTTTTGTGATGATAGTTTTTTGCATTGAGATCGAATCGAATATTGGCTCGATTTCTACTCTACGACAACGACCAATTAAACTGAAATCTGATTCTTATTAGGTGTATTACTATACTTTTAACCAAAATGATCAAAGTACCACAGTACCACAGTATCAATGAAAAAGCAAAATGCCTCTTCCGTAATGACTATAACAGGTAAATTAATTGACGCAGCGTGTAAAAATTAAAAATGACGAGTTAGAAAAAAGAAAATCGCATGTGATTAAAAAGTAAAAAAGTTGAAAAAAAAGCCACCTATGGTACTTATGGTACTTTAAATATTATTTCAACGTTTGAAATGAAATGACGAAACGACAATAGAAAAATTTCATCTAATTATTTCGCTTCTTTTTATTTCATATCGATTAATTGAATAAATTATTTAATAAATAAATAATTTTTACTTGTTGCCATGACATTTAGCATAGATCATTCATTCATTCATTTGTCATACAAATTCTATTAATTTTTATCGAAATTGAAAATCGGTATGATCGTTCCTAATGGCTCGAAAAATTCTCTAAGCCACACGATGAAGTTTTTTTTTTCTTTTTATATATATTTTTATATATTTTATATAATTATTTTTATATATTTAATTTAATTTATTTTTAATTTTTATTTTATTTCTTCTTTTTTTTTTGCTTTTTATTCATCCATCACAGCGAGAATTGGTTTAACATGAATTGTTTTTTTTTTTTTTTAAGATTCCTCACCATTACTGATAAGATTCGCTCCGCTGGTTTATCATAGCCATTGAGTATACCTTTTGTCGATAAAAGTAGAAGTAAGACGCACCAGCAGCATACGGATTTTTGGACATATTTCTCTTGCGGAGAATACGAACCACAGCATTGAGAAATACTAATTAGCTGAAATCCGATTCCGTTAAACAAATATAAATATATATATATATATATATAAAACAGTGTTTTTATTTGAAAAATACTATTATGTATGATAAATGTTATCATTTTATTTTGATAAGCGGATGCTGAGCTTCTATACTCGACGGAATTAAATTAGATTCTAGAATTAAATCTTCTAGAAATTAGAATAATATTAGCGATTCACCCTATATTTCCAAGTGACTCTCTCTGCTATCTCTATTCTTATTTAAAAAATAAAAAGCTTTAGCCTAGCAATCGACTAATGGTACCAAAGATAGTGATAAAGAGATAAAGAAGATTGTAGTGATTATTATTATTATTATTATTATGATTGTTATTATTATTTATTATGCGAATATTCTCTTTTTAAATTTTTTTCTATTTTTAATATTTTATATTTTTAATATTTAGATAATTTTTTTATTAAATGTTTCGTTGGTTTATAAAAGCGACAACTCCTCGTGGAAATAGTAATGATCGTCATTATTTGGAGAAGTACTCATCAGTTGACGAGTCTTCCGATCGTATGATTGTCGAACTTATTATGAATGAAATCGAAAATGAAATTGCACAATTCGAAAATAATCGAGTAAATTTTAATTTTTTAAAATTATTAAATTATTAAAATTATTATTAAATTTCAATTTCAATAATTATTTCATTATTTTTGAGAAAAAAAAATTAAAAATATTTTGGTACTTCGCATTTAGAAAGATAAATGAAAAACACCTGTTTATCCTTTTTTTAGCGTCGCTTCAAAAATCCTCGAAACTCGTTTCCTTCTTATCCATAAATTTATTAATTTCCTCCTATTGAATTCATTTTGTTTTTTTTTTTTTAGTATTATTTTTAATTATTTTATGACAATTCGAAAATATGAAAATTTTATGTAAATAAAAAGCAATAATCGAAAAAAAGCAAAACAACTAAATTGTAGTAAAATGAGGAAAAAATCAATTATCACTTATATTATCAAATCAATTATCACTTATATTATCAAATAATCACAATTATATACATTTAAGAAAACTTAGAAATCACCGTTATTTCTTTTAAAAAATACGAATCGAAGCCATTTTGCATATTTCGTTTATTTCATTCAACAATTATTTTTTCAGTTATATTTATGGCTATATAAGAAATTTTAGTTTTCATAACGAATCAAAAAATTTATCATGGAAAAATTTAAAATAAAAATTTTTCCTGATAATCACTATATTCAAAATTTTTTAATAATCATAAATACTTTTTATGATATGCAAAATTTATCAAAAATAATCATTTTTTATTTATTTACATCTAAATTATAATAATAATAAATAATTTTTATGCGAAATTGCAAAATTTATCCTAAATAATCGTTAATATTTGCATGAAAATTATAATATTAATAATAAATAATAATTACAAATAATTTTTATAATATGCAAAATTTATCATAAATAATCATTAATATTTGCATGTAAATTAGAATAATTTTTACTCATATTTTTTTTTGAATGTTTTTTCTTATAAATTATTTTCATTCAGAGATTTTCAAAAACAATAAAAATAACAAAATAACTATAAAAATCATTTATAAATTAAAAATTTTCAAAAAATTTAATAAAATACCTTTTTTTTTTAAATTTATAAGAGCGCTCACTATTTTTTGGTTTGGTTTAATTGATTCATTCGACTAATTTATTGGAACTGATAAGTTTCGTGAGAAAATCATTTGGCGATAGAAGTACGGATGAGGTGAGGCTAAGTATCACGCAAAGTTAGAATACTCAACAAAGAAAAAAGTGAAAGAAAAGAACGATCGAAATTCGAATAACACGAATCGTTCAACATCTTATAGGCCAATAGGCCAATAGTGAACAATAATGAAATGGCAACAACATTTTTTTTCTTATCAGCAATCGTACTTTATGATAAATTTCCATGTTATGCTTGTTTCGCAGCAATTCCGGCAAATACAATCTTAATGAATTTGTTTCAACTATTCATAAAAACGACAAATTCGTTCAAATAGCCTCAAATTTGACTTGTAAAAATTCAAATTCAATTTGTTTATATTTTAATTTTTGGTACGCCGGTGGCTCAGTTGGTGGCTAAGATAATTTCTTCCTAGAATCGAGGAATCGGTTTTGGCTTCATCGAGCGGCAGTGTTGCCTTACAGACGAAGTAAAGGAGAATGGCTTATATTGCTCAATTGCTCAAAAGCTAGGATTCTATTCATTTATCATAAATAATCATTAATATTTGCGCAGAAGTAAGGTTAAACCTCAAAAATTCGCGTCTATATGCTAGCGATTCGTCTATATTTCTATCTTCAAAAGACTCGCTAGCATATTTTGCCTAATACGAAGAGCGAGCCCAGCGGAGCGAGTCTAACCAATAATGGTGAGTGCTCTAAAAAGCTTCATTTATTGATAGAAACCAAAAAATTTGGAAAAATTTTTTCTTTAATTATAATTATTATTTATTATTAAAAGATTTATTATTTTTAGTATTTACGAAGAAATGAACAATTATTACGTGCAAATATTGCCGATTATTCTTGGCTTTCAATCGAGAATAATGCCAAACGAAAATATCTTTCAATTAAGGTTTTCATTTTCAATAATCATTCATTTAGGATATTTAAATATTTTTATTATTTTTCTATATTTAAAAATAATTATTTAATAAATGAATAATAATTTATAATAAATGAAATGAAAAAATATTAAAATGAATGTTTTTATTTATTTTTTCTTCATCTGAAAATTCTGATTAATAATTTTTCAATTTTTCACTAAACAACTATTTGTTGATTTCACTAAGTTTTTCAAAGTTTTCTTGGATATTGTGAAATTCATGGATTTATTATTATGGACTTATGGATTTATTACGCTAAAATTATCTCCGAAAAAAAAATCCTATTTTCAGCGGAAATCCAGAAATTCGCAAAATTCTTATAATACTCGATGATTTTTGATCTTCCAAAATTATATATATATAAATATATATATATACATTCGCTTCAAAACTACCTCTTATCATTATCAATTAGTGATGACTAAAGATTTGATAAAATCATCAAAATCATAACAAAATAATTTCACCATTATCATTTATAGAATATCGATAAGGCAATCAGTTTTTTTTCACCACCTTTGCTTGAAATTAAAATTTTAAACTTTAAAAATTCTTTACTCAAATCGCAATATTATTATACTTTACTCGCTACAATTGGTAAAAAGAAATTTTTTTGGTATGAAATTTTAATGAAATTTATTTTAAAACGATAAATTTGTAATGCGTTACCAAACCAGTAAAATATAAAATTAATATAAAATTAATAATTTTTTAGTTAATTAATTAAAATAAAAAAAAAAAATAACGATAAGAAACAATAAATTTATCGTATGGAAAGAAAAAATAATCTTTCTATAGATGAAAAGATTCATTTCACTTCAAAAATAAATTAAAAATTGACAAGAAACTGCCTAAGAAATATACGCTAAACGCCTAGAAAACTTAAGAAAGTACCATAAATTTGCAATAAATAAAAATAATTTAAAACAAATAATAAAATAAAAAAATATATTAATGAATTCCATATGGAAGTGAGCGATAAAATTTACATTTATATTATTCTCTAATAAAAATTAAAAATATAAAAAAAAAAGAAAAAATACAAAAGAAAAAAATTTTTAGGAAAAAGATAAAATTGAAAAATCATGCGAACATATTATGGCTAGCGAATGGTCAAATTTAATAACGAATTGGAGATCGCGAATTCAAACAGTAAACGATCGCGAACAAATTCTTGAAGCATTTTCAATGGCCATACAAGATGTATTATCATCACGCTCGAGGCAAAACAGCGTTATCGATATTCTATCGCATTTTATTTGGAAGAAAGCGAGTATTAATGCTGTAACGCTTTTTATAAAAAATTGCAAAAAGAGAGGAAAAACTCAATTTTAAATCGAATATATTTCATTGTTTTTTTTTTAACTTTAAAAAAACTTTAAAATTACAAATATAAATTTTATAAAATTTAATTTGAAATTTATGGGTACCATAGTACGATTTAAATCAGATTTATTTCATTTCTCAATCGTACATAACTATTTTCAATTTAGCTTATTCCATTGGTTATAACGACGGGTTTTCTTAGATCATAGATTATTTCATTAGAGATAAAAAAGATATGCTATCAGCAGCGTTTGAATTTAATTTTTAGTGATAAATGATTATTTTCGTTAAATAGCCATGTTTCACTGCACCCTTCCACTTTTTCTACCTCTCGCGAATGCAACGAATGGCTAGCTCAACTAGTATATCCATAATAGATAGTTCCAACACTATCTTTTTTGAGATCTTTTAATACTGTTACTGGTTAGACTCGCTCTTCTGGGCTTGTCGCACTCGACAAATATGCTAGAGAGTCAATACAAGTAAGTCGACAGCACTAGTCACCCGATTATTTTGCACTATTTTAAATTTCTTTAAATAAAAATAAATAAAAATGAAATTTAGGTTGGAGATAATAATTCGCGAGATGGATTCACAGAATTATCAGCGATAAATACAAAATTTTCATACGATCAAAACAATCAAAATCTTAATAATCGCAATATTTGATATAATAATTAATTAATTTTAATTTTCTCTAATTTTTCGACAAAATTAGTTTTCAAACAAAATCAACCAACAATTATCTATATTGCAATATGGCAATTTCGCTATCTGCGGTACAAATTCAATTCATTGATATTCGCTAACAATAAAATCTATTTGGCCTATAATCGCGATTATAATTTCATTATAATTATATTATATTCATTATATAATTGTTGGATATTAAGTATAATATGTATATAATAAATATATTTTATATACTTTCCAAATAAACTTTATTTTTATAATTTTTTATTTAATTTTTCAATTACACAAAGTTATTAAAATTAATTCTCAATGATATTGACAAGAGAATTTTAGGTTTAAAAAATATGTATATATATATATATATATATATATATATTAAATATAAAAAATATTTTCTTTCTTCTTTAGTGAAAATTTTATCATAAAATTTAGCAAATATGTTGAAAAAGCCAAATATGAAAGTAGGCTTTTATGCTGAATGTAACTTCCATCCATACGTATTCAATGGCATAGCGTATGTAATTATTAATCATTCTTTTTCAAGACTAGTTGAAAAGAATCCTTAATACAATTTTTTAAATTAAGTTTTATTAATTTCAATTTTAATCAATTAATATTAATTTTATTAATTCATTTTTTAAAATAAAATTAAACGATACGAAAGATATTTCTTTTCGCTGTTTTCGATAATTCACATCCAATATTTTGACAAAATAATATTTGCAAGGCATCAATACGCAAAGTATGAGCAAAACACAGCATTGATTAAATAATTTCCAAGAAATTTTTCCGTAAAGTGAACCATTAATTTGATTGGAACTGATCGACTTAATCTATTCATCTCTTATTCATTTGCGATTCAAGCAAGGCCTTAAATGAAAACTCCATAATTTTCGTATAAATGAATGATTAACAATATTGGCAAATGAAACAAAAATATTAATTTTACCTCTCTTGAAAAGGCTTGGGGCCGCCTGCATCTTTATACTTTTCCTTTTCGCATTAGACAATCGTGATTTCAGAACTGCTGGCAATTCATGTAATCCTTTCAGGTCCTGAAAAAATTGTAAGAAATGCATATGAAAAATTGTCATAAATCACGATTGCACTAGAATAAATCATAGATAAAATTGATAGAAACTACAACAATGGAATGGAATTTTTATCTGTTACCATTTATCTGCAATGAAATTCCAAGAACTTATAAATAAATAGAATCTTTAAATAAAATAAAATCTAAAATAAAATTGAAAAAAGATTATAGTTTCCGACGACTAATCAAAATAGATAAAGCTGTTGCAAAAGTATCGGTATTTTATGGAATATTCAAGGTATTAACCTGAAGTAACAAAGGTAAAAATTTTCTTCTAACAAAAAAAACTGAACCAAAAAGAAAATGAAAAGTGAATAAGAAGAATATAAGAAAAAAAACAAACGTTTTGAAAGGTTTCAAGAATAGAAATAATTATACGATTCGTTGCCATAGCAGTTCCATTACAAGTATGAACAAAATGGCTACGATTATTTTCGTCAGTATATTTAATGTCTGTAATTTTACTGAAAATAATAAAAAAAATTAGAAATCACAAAAACTGAAGCACTAATAATTAGGCAGTTCTTTCTTAATTTCTCCATTAACTATTTTTCTAATTTTGAAATTAAAATTAAAGAGAAAAAAACTTACTAAGGCGTCGTGCTTGATAATCAGTACAATTTGATGCACTTGAAATTTCTCCAAATAATTTCCTTCCAGGCATCCAAGCCTCAATGTCGAATTTTTGGGCAGCAGGAGCCCCAAGCTCTTCTGATGGCATATTGAGCAATCTTAAATGGATTTTAGAGAAAAATGACCAATTACAAAAACATAAATTACCAAATTACTATTAATAGAGAATTTTAGAGAATTTTTATATGACCAAGAAAAAAAATAACAAAAATAAATAAAGGAATGAAACAAAAAAGAACCTGCAGAAAAGTCCCAATTCGCTAAAAATCGAACATTGCAACTCAACAATTTCTTCCAGCATTCGGTCGCTTTCATCAGGTTTACAAACTATGAACATTTCCATCTAAGAAAAAGAAAATGAACATTTCCACCTAAGAAAACGAAAAATTTTTCAATGTAAATTTGATTAATTTTTTCATAGATACCAATTTATTAAAAAAATATTAATATTAATATTTCAGTATAAACTAATTTGAACTAAAACGACAGTTAAAAAAGGAAAGGTTCAACCTAAAAAAGAACCTTGTTGAATTCGTGAACTCTATATAGATGAGCTTCACTTGCGGAACGAGATATCTCTGGACGATAACAACGGCTTATTGCACAAAGTTTCGTAGGCAAATCTTCCGCACGAAATGTTTGATCTTTTATCAAATCACCTATACCCATCTCTAAAAACAATTCGAATATTTTCATATCAGCATCCAAGAAAATATATTTTTCTACAATATATTTTAATATTTCAGCTATAAATAAATACATATTAGAACATCCTATAAATACTCTTGTAATGGAAATTATAAGAATAAAAACCTGCCGTGCCCGAAAGACAAAGTTCTCCCGTGCTGTCCACAATGTGGTACTGCATATCCTTTCCAGATCTTTTTTGCAATCCGCATGCTGCAGTTACATATTGCGGAACAATATCAGGAACCGTTACCAATTTAAATCCATTCTTTAGCACAACAGATGATGCATACGACAATAAAGCTTCTTCTAGATAAGCCAATGGACCTCAAAAATAAATAAATCAAAAAAATAAATTAAAAAAAAGAGAAATAAATAATCGAAATATTTTTTTCTTATACTTACCAATAAAAGCATAACTTCTCTCACCCGATGCAACACGAGGATAAACCACCGATCGCCATGAACCAGCCAATTTTTCAGCAGTTAATAAATTTTTCGAATCGCAACGCTTAATGCCGAATGTTTTTCTCGTTTCAGCAAATGACATATCACCAACTGGAACATCCGGATGGCAAAAATTCGGTATAAGTAATGCTTCATCATAAAACTAAAATTTTTAAAAATAAAAAAATCTAAATCTAAACATAATCAAAAATAAAATGAAAAATTCAAAAAAAATGAATTGATAAGGCCAAAAAATAAATATTGAAAGCATAGGCTCTATATTATATATAATAATATAACATTGGAGACTAGAAGAAAAAGTGATTTCAACTAATTTCACTAATTCGGAAAAGCCTGGAAAAGTTCCCCTCAGTCAAACAATCAACCATCATAAATCTCTTTCAATTCACATATATGTTTCTTCTTTTTTCTAGTCGCTTTCGTTCTAATGGCGAAATTTTATAAATGTACGATCATCTTTCTTCTTAACTTCGGCTTGTCGATTTTATCAAAGGTCTTTTTTTCTTATTTCCGTTTTCCATTTGTTATTTCCACGTTTCCCCTCCTCATTCGGTCGTTTTCTAGTGAATCGTTTCTGAGCGATTTATCGCTTGGCTCGAGACTCTCCACTGATTTTGTAAATAATTAAAAGAAAATTGAAAAAAAAAAAAAGAAAAATTAGAAAATTGATTTTATATTTGAAAAAAAAAATTTTCTTACTTCATCCCATAAATTCCTATATTCATTTTCGTTTAAAATTTTTCGATTTGAATAATTTTCAATTTGTTTCCAAAGTTGATGAAGGCGATCAATATTGCCGACACCTTTACGATATTTCACATTCGAACGAATTATTTCCAAATTTTTCTCGTTAAGAAGAAAATCAAAATCTAAATCTGCGCGTCGCTTCAACGAGAAATCATTTATTTGATGCATTTTCGATAAAAATCTTTTCGAAAATTTAAAAATATTTTTTGACATTTTCCTTAAAAAAAAATAAAAATTATTAAAAATCAAAAAAAATCTATCGAAGAATAGTATCGGATCGATTGGAAACGTCTTATCATATTCAGTCACCAACTAAGGTGAAACGAGCACGAAACCACCAATGGTGCAAATTATTCGAATAAGAAGATAAGACGATTTTCTCCTTTCCTAATTTTGATACGACACATTTTTTAGTTCCTCTTCCTCTAGTCCTCTAAACAAGTTGCCTGCCAATCCTCACCCTCCCCTCCCCCCCCCTCCCCAAATCCCCTCCTTCCACCTTATCAACACTAAACATATTCTTCTATTTTTCAATTTTGCATCAATCATATATGCTAAAGATCGGTCGCGGACTGCACAGTTTTAAATAAAAAATAGCGCAGATGAAATACGCATAATAGTACCCTAGTTGCAATTCGTGCAGTAATTTGCCGTAGCTTAAGGCTTAACTTTTTGTGTTTCTAGGTTATTTTATCTCGGTGATAATCGCCTCGAATCCTTCTCCTATACCCTTAATCCTCTTAAATCCAATTATATCCCCTCAACCGCTTGGAAGCGTCCTACCCTTGTAGCCGTTGGAACTAGCCTAACCAGTGAAGGTGAGAGCTGTTAGAAGAAGAAGAATATCCCCTCAATATTTACCCCCTTTCTCTTCAGCTGCATTTTATCGTCGTCAGTTAATTACACCTGTTTATTCTCATTTAACGACTATAGGAACAACGGAGGATCAATTTCTCGGAAGATCTTTTCTTCTTTTATCGATTCAAGAATCGAGCACGTTACCTTGATAACGATTGAATCACTCGGCTATCGTGCCCTGTATTTATTAGTCCAATCTGAATTATAAATGGTTTTTGCCTGAATTCATCCGATTTATTATTATTTAAGCTAAAAACTTTAAGGGAAAATAAAATGAGGGAAAATAGTATTAATTGCGATATCAAACGAATTTTACACGATGCAAACGCAGTATGTTTCGATGTCGATTCGACGATTTGCCAGGTTTGGTTCTTTTGGTTTTTTCTATGGTCGTTTCTAGAAAATTTATCTATTTTGAAGAATTTTATTCACGAACTTAGGCGAATACTTTTGTCCGACTAGTACCAATAGCTTTTGTTCAACTAAAGCCAGTACGCCGCTATTCTTTTTGCTAGCCTTCCTAATAAAGTGCCTCGATTCGATGCTATCGCTGACTCTAGTACAAGCCATTTATTTTTTCATCGTCTAAGTCCAAGTGTTCCGCTTCTTCTTCTTCGAGTGATAAGCGGACGACTCTCTCTTCCGTACTTCTCTCTCGCCAAGGAACTACTTGGTGTGTTTGTTTATTGCGATAAACCAGAGGAGTGAATCTAACCAGTCATGGTGAATTACTGGTGAATTCCTCTAAATCTTCCCTTTCCTTTCTTTTTTTTCCTTTTTTATATAAATTCTTAAATTTTTTATTTTTTATTCTTTAAAGGATGAAGCAATTGATGAATTTGCTAAATTTCTCGGTTACTCGGAAAATGAAATAAAGAAATTAACAGACATGGCGATGAATGGAGAAATGGGCACATTTCAACAATCATTAACAAGTCGAATGTATTTACTTCGACCAACAAAATCACAATTTAACGCATTTTTATCAAATAGAAAAATTTTATTATCACCTAAAATTGAAGAGTTCGTATTCGCTTTACAACAACGTCAAATTCACGTTTATTTGGTGAATTTTTAATAGAGGGACACGATGCCGAATATCTTTTTTTTTCGGTCCCACCGATCAGATTGGTTCCGATCCTTCTATCCGATGGTGGATTTTGTCACCTTAAAAATGAAATATTAATGGGATCCATCGTCGTCCGATCATCGTAGAAGAATTCCATTCTTCATTCCTCAGTAAATGAAAGATTGCTATCGGAAAAAAATGAAAGAATTAAACTAAAGCATTTATTATTATTTTATCAGTACTTTGATTACCGTTTAACGGTTCCATAAGTAAAAATATAACAAAATTTTTACGATTATCATTTAATAAATTTTGTTAAAAAAAATTCAGGTAACGGGAAGTTTTCGCTCTTTTGTTCTTCCAGTAGCTTCGATTTTGAAAATTCCGAAAGAGAACATTTTTGCAAATGATATAAAATTTGATTGTAACGGTGATTATATAGGTATCGATACAAATCAACTAACTAGTGATTCAGGATCAATGAATGTTGGTAAGGCAGCTGTTTGCGGTTTATTGAAACAAAAGTAGGTTTTTTCATGGTTTATTTATTTATTATTTGGATTATTAATTATTAAAAATTTATTTATTTATTATTTGGATTATAGGAAAAAACACCGCATACTGTTTTTTATGTCTTTCTTTAATTTTCGAAATTTGTCAATTTTTTAAAGAATATTTAATTTTTTTTTTAAATTACATAGAATGGGATATCGAAATTTGGTTATGATTGGTGATGGTATTACCGATTTGGAAGCATCACCGCCTGCAGATGTATTTATTGGCTTTGGTGGCAATAAGGTTATTTTATTAATTTATTTTTTTTTTCATCAATTCGTTTCGTTAAATAAATATTTAATTTATTTCTATTATTAATTTGGCCATGTAAGACTAACGGTCAAATAATTCTGAATATTATCATAATCCTATTTAATTTCATTTGAATGTTAACCACAGTTATGAAGAAAAAACTATCTCAATTCTTCTTAGTTTATTGATAAGAATTGATAATTTATTAAGGTTCGAGAAAAAGTGCGCAAAAATGCTAAATGGTATGTCTATGATTTTAATAGTTTATTGGAAGCGTTGCTATCGTCAAATAACTAAAATACTTAAAATAATTGAATAAATTATTGTTCATCCGTTTTTTTTCTCAATAAAAATTTATTATTTTAAATATTTTTATTTCAATTTCTCACTCAATCTGCTAATTTAAATTATTGGTAATTTTCATTATTATTCATTATTAATTTTCATTATTATATTGTATTATATTATATTATAATTAATTATTATTCCATTAATTATTTTTATTAACAACATATCAAATTTTTGTTTAATTAATCTTTTATTTTCGCGATAAATTTCAAGGAATAAAATATGTAAAATATTTTATTTAAAATATTTTTTATTAAAAAAAATTCAAATTGCTAATGAAGATTTATATGAAATTAATAGTTTTTACAATAATATATTAAAGCTGTAGAAGTATTCCTTTGGATTTTCTCTCGAACTTTAAATTTTTTATATTTATCAATTTCCAACGAAAATTTAGACGAGAATTGAAATTCGAATAATTATAAAAAGGAAGATAAATTATGATCAGAAAGAATTTGAAAAAACTCCTCTTATCTTGAAAAAACGAATAGTAACGAGAAGTTTAGAAATTTTGCATATATTATAAAAAAAAAAGCCTTTAGAATGGAATATCAAAGATTATCAATGGTATGTATTATCAATTTGGCACCATCACCAGCAGATATTGGTTATGGGTTGCATTTATTGGTTTTTGGTGGCTATATAAGGTTATTTATTTTCACCTCTTGACCTCTTGACGATACATAAATTAAGATTCGAGAGAGAGAGAGAATCCAAATGAATGTTGCATGATAATTTTATAGATTTCATACAGGTTATTTGAAGAACTGCTAATATCAGATCAATAAATTATTATGAAACAATTGAATCTATTAAATTCATTATTTAATTTCAAATAAAAAATTGTTTGTCTTGAAATTATTTATTTAACATTAGCAATTGATTTGTTTAACATTGAATAAATAATTGATTAATTAATATAATAATTATTGAATAATAATTACAAATTGATAATCGATAATCATAATAATAATTGTAATAATAATTTATAATAATTATAAATATTTTATCACTTGTGCAAATTAACATGTAAATTAACATTTCTTTGATTTGATTAATCTTTTTATTTATTCTTCACTTCACTATATTTAATTCGCACCTTTTTAATTATATCATTAATTTCCTCGAAAAGCTTTCGTCGAACAGAAAACGATATATCCGCCCGTAAATTGACTACTTTTAAATGCTCGTAATAGCAACCTCCTACCAAGGAATCATCGAAAGCAGTTGCTAAAATTTCAGCTGCAGCTAATTTGCTAGTTCTGAAACTAATTTAAGATTAATCGGAATAATTTAGCGATATTAAGTTTGATTGATTTCATATATTTTTATTTTTATATTTACATTATAAAAAATTATATAAAATTCAAAATGTGAATGAGTGAGCTAACCTCATAAAAGGCGCTAAAATATTGTAAATTAATATTTTGCATATCAGATTGACTTTTGAATATAGATTACTGGGAACGCAACCTGGATGTAGAGAACATACCAGAGAGTGGCCCGTTTCATTATCGTCAGTTGATCGATTTAATTCTCTGAAAATTTAAAATTTAAATTGGTGTCACAAGTTTCAAGTTATATATTCGACTAAGCTCAAGTCTTTCGTCTCCTACTAGCAGGAAATGTGCCACTAAAAGTGAAATTTATATTATCTGGGAAACAACTGTACTTTTAACCTCAAATCGTATCCTCATGAGTCTCCTCATCCTAATAGATAATTAGATAGTAGGATTGAACCAAAAAGAAGTATGAAAAGCTGGACGCTTATCATTTTTGATTAGGCCAGCTCCACTGCCTGGTCATAGTTAGGAATTTTTCACAAGTGGAATCACCTAGTTATTTATGCTATTATGCTATTCAAAATCGATCTCTATTTTCATCTAAATTTAATATTTCACCATTTTTCGCAAAATTTTATTTTGCTAAACTTTTTGTATAAAAAATTAAAAAGAATCTATAAAATATGGCAAATATTTTTATTTACTGTTTCATCTGGTTACATAGAACGGATCGCTAACCAGGCCAGCATATTAGATTTTTTAATGACCTACATGATTTACCTCCTAATCGAACACATCGACTAGCTTTTTTATCTAAATACAATACAATTAACTAAAACTTTACTTGTTCAATTCATTTGCATAAATGGCGATAGCTAATTTAGATGTCGCATACGAATGATATCCATTTATATATCGACTGAAAAAATTATCTGAAAAAGAAAAAAAATTTTTCTCGAAAGTAAAATATTGAATAAAAATATATTAAGCATATATTAAAAAATTATACTTAAAATTTTAATAGTCAAATAGACCAAATTAATATTAAATATGGCCAATATAGTTATTTTAGCTAAGTTTTCACAAAAATCAAATTTTTTTCACTTTTTTATTCTAAAATTTTATACTTTATGTTTAGTATTTTATTATATGTTAAGTCTTTGTAATATATTATAAAATTATAATTTATTAAATAATAATAACCCTTTAAAATTCGAATTTTACATATTTAAAAGAGAGAAAATATTAAAAGTGTAATAAGAAAAATTAAAAAAAAAATTAATATGCAGATAAAAACAATACAAATTAAGAGAACAATAAGAGAACAATAATGATAAAATAACGATAAAATTGATTAATTCAAATTATAATCAAAGAATAAAAACCTACAATCAAGATTTGTTTCATTAATATCACCAGCATAAGCGACTGATGATGCTATAAAAATTATCCTAGAATTTTGAATTAAATACGGTGATAATTGATTAATTAATATGGCGTGTGAAATTAAATTAATAGCAAAATGCGATTCAATGCAATCATCGTTTAGCTATAAAAAAAAACAACTATTTTGAATATTTTATTTATTTATTTTTTTTATTTAAAAATATCTGATAATTAGTTGTATTGCATAAATTCATCGTTAATTAATAATGGTTGAAGTGGGTGAATGATAGGGAAACTCATATACCTACAATTTATACCTAAAATTCACTCAAATAACTCAAGGTCTTATTCCTAAGTATTCCAGCCAAATCTCTGTAGGCATTTAATACAGTTAGCAAGGATAAGAAATGATAAGTGCTATTAAAATAACAATTCAACTAGTTTATTTAAAAAAGCCTAAAAAATCAACGATTTTTATAAAGTAACCTTGTAGGCATTTAACATGATAGCAGCATTGCAAATAATTAAATCTATTTGTTCAATTTCTTTTATTATCGTTTCAACCAATTTAAAAACCTAAAAATAAATGTTTTACGCTTTATATAATATTCCAAGAAAAAGGAAGCAATGAAAAATGGGGTGATTTCTTTCGTAAAAGAAAACTATTTGGTAATGAAAGAGGATAAAGAGACAAAAATAGAGGACTATAAGACAGTAATAAATGAACGTAGAGGAATCTTCCATATCTGCTCCTAGCAGAAGTCATCAAAAAAATATGGCTGCTATTGGCCTATAAACGTGATTCTCTAATAAAAACCTAAGCGGAGTAGTAGAATCAGTGGAGCTATTCCAATCAGAAATGGTGATCACTAACTTCATTGACAGTTGAGGAAGTACCCGATTTTAAATACCTTGGATCCATTCTAATACCAAATGGCCAAGCGACAAGCCGGATCATGATGAGAGCTGTTAAAGAAGAAGAAAGAAGAAAATCCCAATCAGAAATGGTGACCACTAATTTCACTTGCTTCAAAACCACATAATGGTGCAAAACGTAAGGCAAAGCTTGCGTTGCTTTAGAGGAAGAATCAGCATAGATAACTAAAAACATGAAAATAGCATAACAAATCAACTTTAATTCAACTTTTCAATAAAATAACTCTGTGGCTTAGGGCTTAGGCTTACCGAAGAAAAGTCGAAAAAATCAACAAAGAACTGGTGAATAGCATCACATTGTTCGTATTCGACGAAATCACTACTATGTGAGACAGCAATAACATTAAAATTTGCTTCACGTAATAGATTAACTATCTGCAAAAATATTGTTATATTATCATCATTATTATTGTTATTATAGTAATATAATTAAAATTAAAGTAAATAATAATAATTAAAATAATAATATAATATTTAAAATAATAATATAATATAATATTTAAATATAATATTTAAAATAAGCCTCTCTATAAATTTTTTCATTTATAGTCAAAAACCCTAGTAGGAATAGCAATAACCATAGCAGGCAGTTGTAGAAAAATAAGCCAAATCCCAAGGATATTCAAGTTCATTCCCACTTATAATAAACATATAAAATAAACTATTCAACAAATTATTTTAAGCAGGTTAGAACCATTAATCGTAAATAAACTACATTAAATATGTTGTTAGGCCACATATCAATATATATATATATGTTTAGGAATTATAGGAATAAATTAAGAAATTTTTATTAGCTAAAAAAAAATAAAGAAATTAATATGATAATTAGAATATAGAAATATAATTATAATATTCATTTATAAAAATTCAGAATTCTTTTTTTTTTATTGTTAAAATTTTAAAAAATAAAAATTAAAAGAAATTACTTGACGACCAATCGTACCACTACTACCAGTGATGATTGCTGTTCGTCGTCGTTCTTCATCATTTTTATAAAAATTTGACAATTTTATTTTATTTATTAGAATCTAAATTCAATTTTTTTTTCGAACATCAAATATTAAAACGGTTTTCATTTTCTTAATAAATTAATCATAAAATTGAAAAATTTTTAAAATTTCAAATTTCAAATTTTTTTTTAAAATTTTTTTTAAAAAATTTTAATTAAATTTTAATTAAATTTTAAAAAAATTAAGAATTAATTAAAATTATTAAATTAAATTTAAATTAAATAAAATTAAAAATTAAAAATTAAAAAAATTAAAATTAAAATAAAAAATTTAATTTAAATTCAAATTTAAAAAAAATTTGTCGTCGTTCAAAATTCGTCTGTTAACAAAAAAAGAAGTTTGCTTTTATTTTTAAAAAACATACTTGTTTTTTTATTTTTTTTTAGGAACTGATTTAAGAGTTTCAATTTTCCTATTTGTTTTTCGATTTATCAATATATTTATCAGTGTTTTTCGTAATAATAAATATAATTAAATGAATATAATAAATATAATTAAATAAATAATAATAAAATAAAATAAATAAATAATAATTAAATAAATATAGCATATATAAAATAAAAAAATACCTCGAAATATGATAAATTCCAAGAACGTAAACGATCATTATAGAATTCATATAACATATAATAAATTCCAATAAAATATACAAAAATGATTATCCATATTCCATAAATAAATTCATGAATCAATGCAAAAATATATTTAGCATTTAGCATGAAACGATTTTGAAAGCGATAATACTCTTCCAGCAATTTTTCCATTTTTTTTTAATTTTGTAAAAAATTTGTTTTTATTTTAGAAAAAAATGAAAATCTGAAAACGAAAATATGAAAATATGAAAAAATATGTAAAATATGAAAAAAAAATTGTGAAAATTTTTTACAAAAATATTTATAAATTAAAAAATAAATTATTAAATTATAAATTTTTAAGAGATATTTTGTGGAAATATTGTGGTATTAATTCCTTTAAAAATATTCGACACCTTTTTTTATTTGAATAAACTTGGTGCAAATATTCATAAATGGATCTTTTATGAGCCTTATGAATAATTAGTTAACAATTAAATGAATTGCTGGACTGGATTGTCAAATCCAAGTTTCCTAGCTTAGTAACCGGACAGATTAACTCACACGGTTCATAGTAGACTCTGAAACGGAAACCAGAACAATCCACTGATTTAAGAGGTTTCTATAGGTCAGAGAGAATTACATTTATCAATCCCAGATTCATTCGACTAATATCACCTAATTCTTAAGATGCCTCTCCTCTACCTCTCCTCCCCTCCCCCCACTTCGCCACTCACCCTCCCACCTCCCTCCCCC